AAGATCCTGTTTCTCTCTAAATAATGGCCCGACCCCGTTTTCGTTCCACCAGGTGTGGCCTCTGATTTAGGAATGTGCTTGTAGTACGACGCGAGGGTAAAGCAGCCGTTCATGCGTGTTCGTGCGAGAGTGGAGGAGGTGGAATCCGCCGCTTGTTCTGTTCCTACGCTCTCCCTGCTGGTGGCCGTTGCTGCACGCTCTGCATCTTGGGAGCTGCAGAAAGACAAGGCGTACAACCTCCTTCTGTATCACCTCCGCACAGACCTCGCCCGCCCCTTTTGACGCCAACATCTGGGACTTCCCGGCTTGACTAAGTCAGATTTTTCTAATAAGCTCTGGTAGTTACAGTACTAAAGAAATCCAAACAAGTAACTCTCTCACTCAGATTTTTCTGTCTGTCTCTGCAGGTTGGGACTGACATAAATGCCTGGTTCATTGCCGGCATCTTTGTCCTTTCTGACGCATCCCAATTCGCTGTGGGGGATCCTGCAGCACATTGTGCACTAAACAAAACCCCAACCTGAGCTGCAGAGACCGATTATCAGGTGGACACACACACACACACACACACACACACCACACACACACCCTTTAAGTTGCTTATAAAGGACAGTCACCTCAATAATACGTAGATATTTAACTACACGTGGGTTCCTGAAATGACGCTCTCGTCCTCCTCCCTCTGTCTCCGCTGCACCAGAATACTATGGATGTCCCTATCTACAGTTTGGACAGCGTGAGTCAATAATTAGCACACACACACACACACAACACACACACACACACACCAGAGGAAGTGACAGTGGCCTGTCCCACGTCGCGTTCTATTACATTACGTTGCCGTGGCAACGCACCTTAATGGAGGCAAAGGGACATTTGTCACAAGACCAGAGGTCAAGTTACAACACACTCTTCTGTGTTGTTTGAACTATTCTGATTAATGTTTATTTGAATAGCGCCACCATCATATCAGAAGTTATCTCAGGACACTTTTCAATATACAGGCAAGGTTTCAGAACGTCCTCCTTTTACTACTCGTTTAATTATTTCCATATCATTTATTGTTACATTTATTATGACCAAAACACGTGTGGCAGGGAAGAAACTTTCTACTAACAACTATAATAGTAGAAATATGACTAATAATAATAGTGATGATTACAAGGATGATAGCAGCAATTATGATGATAATAACAATGATATTATCAGTCTGTTAGTCTGTCTATTGCAGTTAATATAATTATAATACATGGTAGCATCCACCTTTGTTTCTTTCTTAAGAATAATAATTCCTTTATTACTTTCTATCTCTTCTCCCTCCTGCGCAGTGGCTGGCTCTGCGGTATCCCAGTCTGGCCATCTACGTGGACACGTGCAGGGAGTGCTATGAGGCCTACGTCATCTACAACTTCCTGGTGTTCCTGTTGAACTTCCTCAGCAACCAGTACCCCAGCCTGGTGCTCATGCTGGAGGTCCAGCAGCAGCAGCCACACCTGCCCCCGCTCTGCTGCTGCCCACCATGGCCCATGGGAGAGTAAGAGGAGGAGGGCAGATATACAGTGGGGTGACTATATGGTGGATGGATGTTAAAGTGTTTCTCTCTGTTTCTCTATCAGGGTGCTGCTGTTCAGGTGTAAGCTGGGAGTCCTCCAGTACACTGTGGTCAGACCTGTGACCACCGTTATAGCACTGTAAGTTTTTACTATTTTACATATAACCATAAGTTCCCAGTACAACTGTGGCGACCACTGTAGGTTTTCTTACCATAGCCACAGTGACAATACACTAAATTTACTGTAACCATGGTGACACACCACTGTAGACTTCTCACAGTAACCATGGTGACATACCGATGCAGTTTCGTCACTGTAACCATGGTGACACACCACTGTAGTTTTCTTACTGTAACCATGGTGACAGTACTGTAGTAGTAGCGTGGCACTGTAAGTAGTTTTCTGTAACCATGGCGATACTTTTCACACTGTACAATCTGTAACATGTAACCGTAGTTTTAACACGGCATGCTCGTGACACAATGTTCGTGGTTAGCAAGGTTGCTAACTGTAACCATGTAACCATGGCGATAGCCCTGTTCATACTGTAGTCACATCTACTCTTCAACAGTAAACAACAGCGCCAGGGTTTGGCTTATACATTGCTCTGAATAATGGTAACGCACCGGAACAACAGGTGGCAAAATGACAAATATGTGAGTGTGAAATGTGAATTTCTCACTTTGAAATGTTTATTTCTAATTTGGGAATCTGAAAACACACATTGAAGTTTTGGAAGCTGAGAAGCTGAACATTTATTGTTTCCTTCTCTGCAGGATCTGTCAGCTCTGTGGGGTTTATGATGAAGCCAACTTCAGCTTCAGAAACGCCTGGTCCTACCTGGTCATCATCAACAACATATCACAGCTGGTAAAGACACACATAATGGATTGCACTGACTCATTATACTTGTGAGGACTCTTATTGTCATAATATAGTACATTCCTAATCCCCTTAAAACGTGAAAGTACAAAATGGAAGTTAAACTCACCACAAACCAGTTGGTGGTACCTTTATTTCTTCAGTTGATAACTGTTGGAGTTAGTATTACATTTTGAGTTAATGTTAAATTTGTAGAAATGACAATTTGACACACTGCACATTTTTTCTGTTGCATTACAGGGATAGTATAGAACACATACATTTCACAGTTGGAAATCAAACACAGTTTGGAGTCATAATGCTGTATGTTTGGCTGCCATTACTGTTAAGTATACAGTAAAGTATACATATCTTTATCTCTCTCTCCAGTTTGCCATGTACTGTCTGGTGCTGCTGTACCGAGCTCTCAAAGAAGAGCTGACTCCCATCAGGCCTGTGGGCAAGTTCCTCTGCGTCAAACTGGTGGTGTTTGTCTCCTTCTGGTAAGTATGGAAGGATAAAGAGAGTAATTTGCTGCGTTTCTCTGTTTTACATAATTGTACATTGAAATTGATGCTTTGGGAACAACAACAACTCTCTGAAGAAATAATCAGCAGATTAATCAATAATACATTTTGTAACTAAATTGTTATTATTATGTAAATTCCGCCCTTAGTTGTGACACATTTATCTCCCTCTTTCTCTCTTCAGGCAGGCTGTTTTCATAGCGTTTCTGGTGAAGGTCGGCGTGATCTCTGACAAACACACCTGGGACTGGGACAGTGTGGAGGCTGTGGCTACCGGATTGCAGGTCCAACACACATTTATAAGCAAATCACCCATATTGATACCTCACAGTCATGTGACCTTTGACATAGAACTTATTTGACTTAACTGATTGTTTATTTGAAACAGGACTTCATCATCTGCATAGAGATGTTCCTGGCTGCCATCGCTCACCACTACACCTTCACCTACAAACCATACGTACAGGTAAACATTTCATCTATCTATCTATCTATCTAATCCTGTCTATTCGTCCCTTTCCTCCATCCAGGAGGCAGAGGAGGGGTCATGTTTCGACAGCTTTCTGGCCATGTGGGATTTCTCTGACATCAGAGCAGATGTCACAGAACAAGTCCGCCATGTTGGTGAGTGTCTCATTATTATTCTTCACACTGCTTGAATTAGTAATAATATCCATCTGCAGCTATGGTAAATATCTCTGCCACCCCCCCTCCAGGTCGTACTTTCCTGGGTCGTCCCAACAAGATGTACTTCGGTACGGTAGTTCGACCCGAACACACTGAGCACACCGGCCTCCTCACATCGACCTCCCAGGACCCCGTCGCCGCAGCAGCCACATCGATGCCCTCCTCCCCCTCCTCGAGTGGCCGGTACCAGGGCCTTGGCCACACTACCGCCCCACACTCTATCTCCGCCCCTGCAGGGTTCACCTCCTCTTCCTGGGATGACGACAGCGACTCGCCTGAGGCAGGTGACAGCCAATAACAGGGTGACACCACTGGAAGCACATAGCCAGGGGTGGGAACTTCAATCTCTCTTTATGTCCTTTGCCCCCTTGTTTTGATGTGCTTCATAGCTGTGGACAAAGAAACTCTAAGATTCTGTAAACATGGACTGAACTCCAAATTTGTGAAAAAGAAGCAAATTCACAGATGGTTTTCATCAGGATGAAGCAAAGGAAAGCAGAGAAGAGAAAGAGTTGTCACTCTGTGATGTCAAAGCCATGTCAAACGTATTTTTAAAATAATTACCCAGTTTTAAATGTTTTAAATCTGTATTTTAATGTCTAATGATGTCATTTTGATAAATGTATCTCTGACTGTTGAAAGAATATTTGATGTTTTCATCAGAGTGGAAGCAGCTTGTTGGTTTTACACTCCCACGGTGTTGAAGTGTCCTTGAAGTAGGTTTAACCATTTGTTCTAATTCATAATAAAGGAACATGCCATATCTAATCACCAGAAAATGTAATTGTTGCTGTTGTTAAATGTGATTCCACTCTTCTGAAAACTCAAGCAAGGTCTAGTAATACAACAGGAAAACGTCGATGAAACATCTGTGATGCTGACCGCAGGCTGACTGAAGACAAGTTTTGAGGCATAGATGTTTGCATGTGCCGCTTGCCATCCAGAGAATCCAAATTTGGGGCAAATTAGGTTAGAGTAGAGCTAGGCTAAGCCAGCAGCAACCATTATCCCTATATCCCAAAGTTCCTACACTAACTAACATTATAAGAGATTGGTAAGGGCTACCCTCGCAGTTCAAATAGCAAATGAACAAAGATATCTGTGGAGACATCAAAGCTATTGTGTCACACTGAGCCTTTAATATTCTGATTTTAACATTAGTTTACTGTAGTTTCATAGTTTACTGGGATTAGTCAATGCTGTACAATACTGTTGTATGCCAGAAAAGAATATGCATATCACAAACATTCCCTGTCTGACAGATTTGGATAATTGAATGGATCATTTTGCATGTGAATAATGAAATAATGTTTAGAAGTTGTGAAGAATCTGACAATTTCACTGAGAAGCAAATGGTTATTGAGCAATTTGTAGACAATTGCACTCTTTTGAACATTTGACAAAACACGTGCAAATTGCTTGATGAATGAGAATTTGTTGTGAACATCAAACTAGTTGTTGAGAAAACTTATCCAATAACTGAGGCAAAGTAAATGAGAGAAACTGTAATAATGGCTGGATTCCATTTAGCTGCTTCAGTTTCAGGGTGTTCTGCATGCTGACTCGCTGTCACTCAAGATACTTTACAAAACCTCTGTGAGCTTGTAGTAGAGGTCTGGCAAAACATCTACAGCTGATTACAAAAGACTCATTGCCTAATTTCTACTGTGTGCACTGGAGTCACTACTGTACACTTATGACTTGTTATTAGTATTTCCCACCACTAGGTGACACAGATGGCCCATTAAAATTAATCATGAGCACAAAATAGTCTGAATATTTAATAACACACACTTTCTTATGCAGTACCTCATGTACTGGTGGAAAATGGTGGAAACTGGTGGAATGCAACTAAGATGACAAAGCCTGATAAACTCAGATAATAGAGCAAATAAGCTGTTGAAACAAAACTGACACCAGCCAACAGGAAGTATCAACTGTAACTTTAACTATATAAATGACTATCTGTACTTTAGAAAAAATTTAACAGGAAAAAGGAAGTGTTGAGGCTACACTGCTGAGCCTGGCAGTTACATTACCTCCTCCCCCGTCTTAGGCCTGAAAACGTCTCCCACAGCCCAAAGCTCTGGTGCTCAGTGTTAATACCAATACTTTCCTGGTTCCTCTGAGCACCCAGTCTCGCCCAAGCTAACAAGCATTAACTCTGTAAATCACAGGAATGTGACTGGGTGTGTTAATAATTGAACTTTAGTAACAAAACAATAATCACATTACTTGTTATTTTCTTGCAACTTCACTGCATTTCTATTTGAGCCCTACAGATACAAATTTATCATCAATTAAAGGTTAAATGTTCATCCAATTTCAAATGTATGCAGTTCTGTTCTGTAGTTATTCAGCACCACTTGACTTTGAATTGTACAGTATGTGCACTTTTATATGTATAAACTGTCAATGGTCTATTCTTTTGTGTTTATTTTCTCCACTAGATATCACTAAATAATTATCTAAACTGTATGTTTTCTGCATTGAAAGCAATCCTGCACCAAATGTTCTCATTGTTAATTTTGTCAGTTCATCAGTGCTGGAGGAATTATTCAGATCCTTTACTTTAGTAAAACTAACAATAAAACGATGTGAAAGTAAATATGTTATACAGTAATGTAAAATATTTAAGGATTGGCATTCAAAATGTCTATTTGAGTCAAAGTGTACAATGAAGCAAGATCAGTGGGTTAGCGAGGTATGTTGATCTAAAGTTTCCAGTATCACCAAGGTGACTCTAAACTGGGCTTTAGCAGCCACACTGCCCAGAGGTTATGTTCAGAGCCTGGGATTGAAAATATGTGATATATTCTCAGCTGAGGGAATATGTTACGCAAACTTGTTGCAAGTTTTTGTTCTTTCCGTGTTGGCTTAATTTGCCATTTGAAGTAGTGACGTTGTGTTATTGCGCTATAGGCCAGTTTCTGTTTTATAACAATCACACTGTACAATGTAAATAATTGTATTTGTTTCAGCTTGAAAGGATACCAAACTTTGGACTACTCAAACTCATATTCCCTCATAATACTCACACATTCTCACATTATGTGTGTGTTTGGATTTATGTGTCTGCTAACAGCTTTGTAAGTCTGTTCTTAGAGAAGAAGAAGAAGAAGAAGAAGAAGAAGAAGAAGAAGATATACTTTATTGATCCCCTACGGGGAAATTGTTTTTTATACACACACTGGCTGAAATGCACACTTCATGCACATGTGGGACATGCAAAGGGAGATGATGGTGACGGTGACGGGGCTTGCCGCTACCAGCGCTTCATGAGCAGGTTTTGGGTTAGGTTGCCTTGCTCAAGGGCACCTCGGCAGTGCACAGGAGGTGAAACTGGCACCTCTCCAGCTACCAGTCCACACTCCATATTTTGTAGTCTGTGGGACTTGAACCAGCGACCCTCCGGTTCCCAAGCCAAGATAATATATATATATATCTATATATATAGACCTCTTGGAGTTTTTACTACTGGAGTTACTACTATATACTTGTTATTAGTATTTGTATCCACTAGGTGGCATCAACAGTCCATTAAAATCTGAGCTGAGTGAACTGGTGCAATAGCACAAAATAGTCAGAATATTCATTAATACACACTTTCTACTTCAAACTTCATGTAGAAGCTAATGGAATCAAACCAAAATGATTAGGGTTTGTTCCTCTTAACTCTCTCTCTGGAAGCTTTTAAATGAGATTCATTAAACATCTACATCAAATATTATCACCATGAACCTTGTGAGGCTCAGAGAATCATACATCAACATAGAGGAAACAAGCTATTTTAACTTAAGGAGGAAGGAAGTGTGGTATTTCAGTTATTAAAGCTCCACCCATCTGAAATATCACAAAGGACAAAGAAAAGCAACTGACGTTTTTCTGACACAAATGTAAGTAGTTCATGATTTAAGTTGATTAGTTGATTTTAAAACTTAGCATTCCATTGTTGTAAATGTAATATGGGAAGTATTTTGCTCATCTTGCTGTGCGTACAAACATATGCATAAAGTATTAAGTATGCTTAATGCAGCCCACACTGACTATCAGTATACCTAAAGGAAATGCAAAGTACACATTTGTTTCTTAGCAACACTGTTTAAATTGCATTCAGTTTCAGAGCTGCTCTTACACGTCATGCTACATTGTTCAATAAGCATGATGTGTAAAGACAGCATTTGTCAGCCAGTGAGGCTGCTGCAGTAAATAGGATTTATTAAAGGAATACAGCAGTGAGTTATTAACCAGCTTGACCCCTAAGGTCATCAGGAACAGGCCGCCTGGTTGTTCCCTGGGTGTTAATGAAAAATTGTAAAGCTGCCTTAATCTTTTATGTGCCAGTCCTCTGGAACTTCCTAATCAAGTGTGCTCCAGTGCTATCATCTTTTAATACTAGTTTACTTGTCTTTTATACTATTTTATGGCATTGTATTCCTACTTCTTCTATTGGTTTTAACCATCCATTTTTATAACAATATGACTGCCACCCAAAAGTGGAGCCAAAACATTTAAAGTGTTCTCTGGTGACTGGTTATAAAGCCCACTGCCTCCATGTTAGCAGATGGGACATTGACCAAAATAAAGAAATCAAAGTACACTTCAAATATTTTTCCCAAAGATAGTTTTGGCATTTTAGAGAGTTCTTTTCATGCTGTATGTTCAAGTTTGGTTTTAATTAATTATCTGAAGATATAGAAAGCTGCCTGCGTTTTACTCGGCCAGGCAACACCTATCTTTTATGTATCAGTGGATTAGTCTTATATAACTCTGTATTACTGTTTTAATTTACATAGCTGGTCCTAATTATTTCTTTTATCATTGTATTTTTTTAATTCTGACTTCTAAATTCTAACCAAGGGTTTTTTACTCATATGTATTGTTTATATGTCTGTTTCAAGCGTGTTACCTTATAGTATCCATATAGTTTTTCTGGCCGCAACTCAAGTGGTAACTCTTAGGTAGCTCTGTGCAGCGCATTGTGCTTCCATCTGGAATAAAATGTGCTATAGAGATAAGGTTTTGCTTGTTTGCATGTATTAAAGTTGGAGGATTTATAGGTCAAATGACATCATTCCACACAAATGTCTCATGCCAGAGTAGTGGCAAAATGATAACTATTGATATAGAGAAACCAGATATACAGTCAGTCCTGGAGGAAGTTTTTAGATTTAAAAAGTATTGATACCACACTGTAAAAATATAGTATAAAGTAAAAATCCATTAAAATCAGAAAATATCTTTAAAGTATGCTTTTATAAGTACTAGATACAGAGAAATGTGTCCTGTGACTGTTATACTGTTATATATAATATCAGGACTGGGGTAACACAATGTCACACACATGATCTTTCCGTGTAAAAAGTGAACACCCTACAAATGTTATGTGTGTTCCAGGAATGTGAAATAAAACAAAACAACTTCAGTAATCACAAATATTAATTTTTTTTCAAATGATATAAATTAACTGAACTGCATGTAGTTTAATTATATAGTTTAATTATTGGCCACCTCTCATGAACTCTGATGAACTCTGATGACGCAGTGTTTTAGAGAGGAGGGGGGGGAATCGAAACCGAAAATCCCCGTACGGGGGACTTCCAAACACTGTCAGTGTAGAAGCCTTCCGTGAGACAGCACTCGTCTAGAGTCCACAGAACATCGTCTGGATTAAAACAGCAACGAGGACACAATCGTCTCTGCGTTTAAAGTACTGTAAGTAGCGTTTACGATTCTGCGTGTGTGAGCTCGGACCAGCTGATTGCTGCGGGTTTGTTTCTTTGTGTGTAGGCCCAAAGCCCTGTGCAGACAGACTGAAGTGCGCAGGAGACTTAGAACCACATTAACCTTAGACGTGGCCATGAGTTGGATGAAAACATGCACAAAAGGAACTGAGAATAATATCAGAAGCGAAGCCTGGTGATTTCACTCGGTCACAACAGCGGCTGTAGATCGCAGTTAACAGATCAACAACAAACCTAATACAGCACGTGTGACGCATGTTTGTAAACATTGAATGCGCAGACGCAGTGTGGTTGTTGATGATGATTTCCACCGATAGATAGAAGAACTGGGCCAAATTTGATTTCCATATCCAGACTATTTGTAAATTAAACGTATCATATTGCATTGTATTATAATAATAAAAATAGTGTAAAATAAATTATGTAGGCCTAATGTCATATTCTATTTCCATAGGCTTATCTTATGGGCACAAGTTGCTTATCTTGTGCGCACAAGATAAAACATATTTCCTTTTGGGGACTTTAGGGGGTCCTTAACATGCTGCACATTGAAAGTGGTGGAAAGTAATGTACTCACGTGCTAAATACTTAAGTACAATTTTTATGTATTTACTTTATACTTCTACTTAACTAAATTAGAGGGAAATATTGTACTTGGTACCCACTATATTTGTTTGGTAGCTAAAATTACTGCACATTAATAGTTTACAAATTGCATTGTTAAAGACTCATTACTCATCACTCATGTAATTAATTACTCGTTACTCTTTTTCTCCCTGCCGAAAGTAATTTCTTACACTACTAGTTAAATTACTTTTCTGCTGCTCCCCACAAAATTGGTACTTTTGTCCCTTATCCTCAAAATTTAGACTTCATCTGTTTGCCTCTGTGTGAATGGCAAGGTCATCTCCTGTAAGGCTTCACACGATTATTTATTTTCTGCAGCCTCTGAATCCATAAAAGTTACAGGGTAGATGGGAAGTACACCTGGCAAGCTAGTTTCTTGCCTGGTGATGTGCATGATTACAAAAATGAATCTGGGAATGTGACTGGATTCATTTAAGATCAGTTGACAACAAAAATAAGGTTGTAACTAGTTATTTTTGGGGGGTTGGTATTATTACTGAAATGTATTTGTACTAAGTTATGCAACTAGTTACTGGAGAATATAATATTAGAACTAGTAATGCCTTACTGCCCAGCACTGGTTAAAGACTAAAGTAATGGTTTTTGGCTTGTGACCACTCACAATAAAGGAGCTCCCATTTACAAAATATATTTCAGTCAGGACCACTTTTGTCGAAAGAAAACTTTATTTCCAAATTCAGTATGTTATATTTGGTGGTGCCTGCCCCCAGGGCACAGGACAGAGCAAGCACCAATGACAAAAATGACATAGATTAACTTAGATACAGCATAAAAGGAGGAGCTGGGGTGGAGGTTGGTTGCAAAGCAGATTGCAGAGGAAGACACATTTGGCAATTGGATGCTTAAAGGGAATAAGCTGAGCTATCAGCTGATGTGTGTTGATGATCAGTTGCGATCAGCTGATGTAGCTGGAATTGTGAGCTGAGCTTGACTTTGTGGCCTTCCTGAACTAACGCTGTGCTCAGGTTGATTTTCTACAAACTGTTAGTCCTGCAAACTACTCAGATGGTTGCAGTTAAGCAATTGTAAAGAAGTAAAAGTGTCAGATATTTTGTAAAAAACTGCAAAAAGTCCCAGATGTCTGAATAAAAAATGGACCATTAATCATCTACAACCCCTTCAGATTTATCTTTATTTGTTACTTACCTTTGATACTGTAAGTACATTTTCCTGATGATAGATGATGAAAGACCTTTACTTGTATTTGAGTGTTTTACATTGTTGTATTCATTCATGAAACCTTAACTGTAATATAGACTTTTTAACATTTTCATGTACATATTTCTGAGCACTTGTACTGTGACACTGAACATGCTTTCAGTTATTTGTTTAAAAGAGATCCCAATTATGAATGCTATTTAGCTCTTGGTCTTACTTTTATTTGGTTTAAATGCTAGTTACTTTGGATAAGAGTCAAATTAATATAATGTAATAAATGTGTTCTTGCAGACAATCTTTGATTAAGATAAGATATAATGGAACTTTATTCATCCCGACAGAAACTGTTGTGCTGCAGTTGCAACACAAAGTAGGAAAGAGTGCAAACATACAGTAAATCCAAAATGTATACAATGGTAAAAAATAATAAATAGGTTAATTGTAAGGATCATTCTTGGTGAGCTGCATAACTACATTTATGAGAAGTGATATAAAAAAAAAAATATTGTCAATAATGCACGTAAATTAGCCAGAAATAACAAAAAAGTGCAAGATGATCAAATAAACTGAATAAAAACTAATATGCCAGAATGTGTCCTTTACAAACCTGTTTTTTTTTTTCTTCGAGCAGTTGTGTTTTAGCTGCACCAGCTGAAATGGCAGAGAAGAAGAAGAAGACAAGGAAGCCACCCACCTCTTCTGTGATGTCCAAACAGTCAATCAGCACCAGCAGTAAACTCAAATCAGTCAGGTAACATTATAGCAGTTTAGCACTGTATACATCACTATTTAGTGAAAGACCAGCAAAATTTGCTTTGTGTGGTGCATTAAATATAAGCTTGTATCTTACTGTGTATATAAGGAAGTATAGCCTCACAAAGCTGTTAGCTGTACACTATTAGTTATTTATTAGTTTCTAAACCTTTTTGAGTTGATCAATCTCTTTTCTCAATAGTTCACAGACAAGGGAAGATGAGTCCTCGAGTCTCAGCTGTGCCTCTATGAAAAGTGATGCATCCATGGGCCATCCACTCAACTTTGAATTAAAACGGTAATCCTAAATTTAGTTTGTTAATAATATATGTGTTGGTTCTTGGTTTCTGAATAAGTTATCCAAGTAAAATGATTTTTCTCTTTTCAGGTTAGAGTCCACAGCTCCTAATGTCTCTATGGAGAGTGATGCATCCATGGGCCATCCACTCAACTTTGGTCTTGAAAAAACCCCAAGGTGATTAAATTTGATGTATTTTGTAAAGAAAATATCTTGCATCTAAAAGCATGTTATGGTTAGTTAATCAAAAATGTACAGGGAGTTGTCTGGAACCAGTAGAATACGATGCATTCATAGCACCGCAATTTGACTTTAAATAATAAAAAAAGAAATGCTATCATCAGACACAAAGACTGCAATCTCTTGAAAGACAATGTGCAACTTTTAAAAATATCATATTTTATTTTATAGTTTCAGGAACTGTTTGTCAAGTCAAGTCAAGTTAAACAGGAACTGTTTGTGCATTTTTTCCATAATTTGTATTGGGGTGTCTAATAGTACATGTACATATTTGTCCTAAACCTTTTGGCACAGAACTTTCGGTTTAGTACATGACGTTCTTCAGTTCCTAATGCCCTTTGACTTTTCTTTTGAAATTATTTCTATAATTACATGTGATGCATGGCATACATAAAATACCATGGAAATGATTGAATTACAAATCCACTCACATCTGTTAAACTTGTCTTAACATTTTTTTTACATTTGTAAAAACTGTGTGTGCGTGCATGTGCGTCACCTGTCTGATGTGAGGAGGTTATGTAACCGTAAACAAATTCACCTGACTTCCCACACACGATTCTTTGTCCTAATCTGCACTGTGGTACATTTTGCCAGTGTTGCTAGCTAGGTAATGACAGATATAGTGAGCAGTTGTTACTGGCTAAAGTTGTTAACCAATAGGTAAAGCTACCTGTCCACCAGGAAAATCTATAAACTACAAAAGGTTGACAGTAATCCTAAAGTTGTGCACTGACTGACTAATATATTCACATTTGTTGGTTATAGATGTGTTGTTGGTGGTTGAATAAGTTATACAAGTAAAAAAAAAAAATTCTCTTTTCAGGTTAGAGTCCACTGCTCTTAGTCTCTCCATGGAGAGTGAGGCATCCATGGGCCACCCACTCAACTTTGGTCTTAAAAAAACACAAAGGTGATTTAATTTAATGTATTGTGTAAACCAAATATCTTGCATCTAAAAGCATGTTATGGTTAGTGCAAAGATTTATACAGAGACCAGTTGTTTATACATATCTGGAACCAGTAGAATTTCAGTGAGATTAAGGTGATGCCTTCATAGTGTTAAATTAAATTACAACAACAAATAATAATAAAAATCATCACACCCACAAAGACTGAACACTCTTGAAAGACAATATGCAACTTTTAAAGAGAGAGAAATTTACATTTATACTTACAGGTATATTTGTAAAAGTGATCGACAAAGCCCAGTGAAGTTGAAAGTATTTTTTTGTGAGGAGTAACTAAGTTAGCTAATGTATTAGCATGTGCTAAAAGAGTAACACAGCACGTGAATCTTAAGTCAAGTCCTACCTTACTGACAAGACTTTCTGTGTTAGTTTTGCTGAGTCCAGGTCTTCTACCTTTAGGCTGCATTGTGGGGTTTCTCAGGCTTATGTGCTTGGCCTGATTCTGTTCTTTATTTACGTGCTACCGTTTTTATGCAAACAATACCCAGGTTTATCTCTGTATCAGTGTAACCGATACACATCTGGCAGGACTAACATGTCATTTGTTGATCACACTACAGCCAGCCAACTGGGGAGTTTTTCAGCTGTTCAGTGTGTAAGAAGGTTGT